GACTCAAGAGCACCCCATTCAGACATAGCTGCTGTTTGTGGCTATTAAAAATAATAATGATCATTAAATTAATATTAAAATAAGTTTATTTTCATTACTTTTGCTGCTTGAGGAGTTGTTATATCACCAAATGTCTAAAAAAAGAATAGAATAACATACTTAAATACTTTAATACTTACATCATAAACGTCATCAAAAGTTGGAGGTGGGGGCTCATTACCAAACGAGAATATGTCTGCCTCTTGTGGGCGTGGGGGCATAGCAGGAGCTTGTTTTGGCATAGGAGGAGGTGGACGGTCTGGAGCTTTGGAAACTGAAGTTTAAGAAGGAGGAGGAGCATTCTCAGCTGGTAGGTTACTAGTATCAGGATCTGGGGAGAGATGGGGGAGTGAAGAAATATAAAATGTGAGACATTACTCTTGCTGTGATGGGGTACCTTGAGGTGCTTTGTCTGCTTCTTCTCTTTCCTCCTTGATCTTCTTCTTTGCTTGACGTAACTTCATGATAAGATCAAATAACTCACGAGATGAATTGACAAATGTGACAGCCTAAAAACAATAGAAAAGTAAAATTAAAATCAAAATGGTTTCGTAGTTGCTATCTGATTCATGCAAACAGAAAAACATGTAAAAAGTTGTACATGTACTGTATGTATGATCATGATAGCGTGCTACTGAGCCTTGAAGCAGTAGAGTCTGAATCCAGTGTGGGACTCCTTAGTTTGAATGATAACTCCAAAGTAGCACTGATCCTCAGGATCATGACTTACATAAGTAACCTTATCCACTGGGACACGAGTTATAGACTATAGTTATTAATAGTTATTAATGTGCATTAATAGTCATAAATATTTTAGTGGTGGGCGATACTGGCCAAAATGGATTTGATCCGATACTGATCAATATCAGCCCATATCGGTAGTATTGATACAGTTTCGATACAATATTTAGACCACACCTATGGAGTCACACCTCTTATTATTGACTGTTTTCATCCATTTTTTCATGCACATGTATCCACGTGGGTGTAATTACGTCATTAACTTATTAAAATTTTTTTTATTGATATTATTTAACCTCAATAAGTGGGCATGATCAACATATCAATCCAAATTTCTTTAAAATTTCGATACCGATACAAATCGATACCGTAAAATGTCACTTGTATCAATAAAATATCGATATATTGCCCACCACTTAAATATTAGAGGCCATGCTAGTACATGTACCTTTGATCTTTCATCATAAAGTGATACTCTTTTCAGATTAAGACCCAACACTGCTTTTGGCTTGTGAGCTCTCATATTCTTACTAGCCGTCTATATATAAAAGGAGAGAAGCAAAAAATAAAGCAATAACAACAATGGCTAATTCATGAAAATGAAACCACACTTTAAACTAATTCTTCCCCACTCTCTCTCCCACTCTCTTTTCTTACCCTCAGAGTAGGTAAGCAGTATCTAGCAGCTTCAGCATCACCACATCTCCTGTTGACATTCTCAGATCCGACATACTGCAAGTTGAATGATTTAAAATTGAGTGCATGCAGCAATAAATGCATTTAAAAAATACCTTAACTCTAAATTGGAGTCCTTGTCCAGGATATTAGTGCCACATGATGATGTACAGCCTGGGTACTAGTCTCCTACCCGTACAGTGGAGCGATCACTCCTCTTCACTGATTGATGGTCTATAGATAACAAGAGGTAACAGTAACTGAATGATACACTAATAGTAACAACACACGAGTCATAATCAAGTATAAACAAAATACTCACCTGGTGCTTTGGCTGCCATTTTGTTTAGAGGTAACGCCCTTCTATGACGTCATACTTAAAATTTTGTTTTAAAATTAATTTTAAAGAATTAAAAAATAGCCTATCAAAAAAATTTGCAGCAACAAGAACAATAATAATAATAATAATAATAATAATAATATCTCAATAACTAATAAACAGTGTCATTTAGTTCAGTTTTAATATCATTCATTGTTGGACGGTGTCTATACTCAACTATCAGGCAGCGTTCAACAAGAGACCTAAACGAGGCTCTTCTAATACCATCAATAAGACCTACTCTCTCTTCTGGTAGAGGAATACGTCGTGTTATCATCTCTAGAAGGAGGACACCATAACTGAACACATCCATTGAAGGAGAGTGTTCCCTTGGATTCCCTGCTTCAGGTGCTGAATAGACAGGATTACCAGGATTAGTCGTCCTACCAATCAGAGGCTGAAGATTAGCTGATCCGTAATCTGATACTTTAGCCCTCCATACTCCTCCCATTGGTTGAAGGAGTACATTAGCACTGCTCACATCTCTATGTAGTATAGGATGAGGCTTGAAGAGATGAAGGTAATTGAGAGCACAGGCTACATCTAAACTGATGCTCAGTATCGCAGGATAGGCCACTCCTCCACTCTCTAATTCCTTTCTTAGGCTCGTTGGCATTAGCTCTGTCAGGATCATTGGATTACCCTCTGTAGTCGCTCCTATGAACTGAAGGAGGTTAGGATGACGTATTTTAGAAGCAATATTCATTTCACGAGAGAACAGTGACACGTTATATTCTGATATGATGGTCTCGT